AATAACATAATAGTTTTAATTTCCTGTTTGTTCTGTTGTGGAATGAGCCTGTGTGTAGATTCAAATAAGTCTTACAGATTTATTTGGCATGAATATGTTTCCTCCCAGGAATAGAAGATAGAAGGAGATTGAGGGAGAAGTGTTTCCTATTTATTATCAAAATTTAGTACCTACATCTTGTTTTCTTCTGATTTTTGTTTGGGTAAATTCAGATTTCTGCCTGGTCTTCATCTAAACTATCAGCTCAGAGAAAAGGGGAAGAAATGAAAAGGAAGGCAGATCCCTGGAATTCTAAGAATTATTTCCATTTTTTAGCATTTTCACAACATACTGAGAGGTTGTAGGGCTTCGTTGACTGCTAGAAATTTGCACTCTTCTCCCATTCTTCCAGGCACATGATCTCTCTCTTTCTCTCTCTCTCTCTCTCTCTCTCTCCATGTATTCAAGGTCTGTCCAGAAAGTATCCAGCCATTATTAATATAATGAGAATGCTTACATGGCTAGATACTTTCCGGACAGAGCTCATATATACATGTATGTATGTACATTCTAGAATTAGAATCATGGAATCCTATGGAAACAATTGGGACATTTTTCAAAGTGAGTCCTGTGGAGTTTTGGGGTTCTTCAATGAGGGACAAGAAGAGAAAGACTAGTAGAAGGTGTCAGCTCTATTTTAACAAGATTTTTCTTTTACTTTCATAAATTGGAATTTCATGAAAAAATTTTTTAATGTGTTTCAGAGCTTGAAAAAAAAAAAAGAGGTTTCGTGCCATGCCCACAGCCCACCTGGAAGCTCAACGTCCTTGGGCTGTCATCGAAGGGTTCTTTGCCTGTGACTTCTTACCATAGCCTTTGGTCTGCATATTAAAAATCCTTAATGAGAGGGACCTCAATGTCATACTTCATTAGTGCCATTATTTAAGGCATTATAAATTCTTATATAAAAATTCAAAGATTAATGTTCTTTAACTGGTCTTGAAAGACTGGACTGGAAAAAAAAGAAATAACTATTAATAGTAATCAAGCTCTCAGATCATATTCCAGCCTTAAGAGTTTTATGGACTAAGCCTCAATTTCTTGCCGGTAAAATGAGACGAATAAAACATGTCATGTTTTCTTTACAAGGAATGATGCTAATATTATAGATGTCAAATAAAATGTTAAATTAAATAATGCAAGGAATGTACGTAGAAGTTCTTTGCAAACCAGAAATAAAAGTATATAATATTTTTTAAATTACAAATTAATCATAAAATAAGAAATACATGTCTTACGACCAAGTGCAAAAGTGGGCACTAGTGGGTATTAATTTCATACAAGAAGCACATTTAAAACATTTCTCTTTCACGAACATATTTTAATTCTAAACTTTCTGGCAATTTCTATCTACCTCTTAGACTGTAATCCTCTTCCACTGGACTCTGGCTTCCTATGGACAAAAACTGCTTCCATAGATTAAAGTGTATGATGATAATCATAATTTGATCATCTCTGACCTATAAATATGGTACTTTCTTATGGTTACACCTACTAATTCAGCTTTGTATTTCTAGCATAATTTCTAGCTGCAAGTAGAAGTTAAAGAATTGTCGAACTGAACTATTGAACTGAACTTGGAAATAAAGCTCCTTTCAAAATAATTCATCTTCAACAAGAAGTAATAGGTAAATGTGTTAGAAGTGACAGGAATCAAATTGCCAATGATTTACTTTTCTCTTTCCCCTCCCAGGTTTCCGGGATAGGTATGTGCAAATAAAAAAATGAAAGGAGACGGAGCTCTAACCTGATTATGGATTTGGGAGAAAGATTACTCAACACACAAAGGAAAAAATAAACTGGTGGACAGCTCTCAGGAACGATGCCCTTTTGTCACAATTTACTTAATATGTCCTGTGTGAAAAGCAACTGGTCGAATGACATCCGTGCTTCCCTGTACAGTTTAATGGTGTTCATAATTCTGACCACACTGGTTGGCAATCTGATAGTTATTATTTCCATAGCACACTTCAAGCAACTTCATACCCCGACTAATTGGCTCATTCATTCCATGGCCACCGTGGACTTTCTGCTGGGGTGCCTCGTCATGCCTTATAGTATGGTGAGATCTGTTGAGCACTGTTGGTATTTTGGAGAAGTCTTCTGTAAAATTCACACCAGCACTGATATTATGCTTAGCTCAGCATCCATTTTCCATTTGTCCTTCATCTCCATTGACCGCTACTATGCTGTGTGTGATCCGTTGAGATACAAAGTCAGGATCAATATCTTGGTTATTTTTGTGATGATCTTCATTAGTTGGAGTGTCCCTGCTGTTTTTGCGTTTGGAATGATCTTCCTGGAACTAAACCTCAAAGGAGTTGAAGAGATATATTACAAACGTGTTCACTGTATAGGGGGTTGCTCTGTCTTCTTCAGCAAGATATCTGGGGTGGTGGCCTTTATGACTTCATTCTATGTACCTGGATCTATTATGTTATGTATCTATTATAGAATATATTTTATAGCTAATGGGCAGGCAAGATCAATTAATGATATGAATCAGAAGCTTCACTTTGGATTGAAAGAGAAATATGGAATTTCACAAAGCAAAGAAAGGAAAGCTGCAAAGACATTAGGGATTGTGATGGGAGTTTTCCTAACATGCTGGTGCCCTTTCTTTGTCTGTACAGTCATGGATCCTTTCCTGGACTACACTATTCCACCCACCTTGAATGATGCCTTGATTTGGTCTGGCTATTTGAACTCTACATTTAATCCAATGGTTTATGCATTTTTCTATCCCTGGTTTAGAAAAGCACTGAAGATGATTCTATTGGGTAAAATTTTCCAAAAAGATTCATCTATGTGTAAATTATTTTTAGAAGCAAATCCATAGAATTATTATATTTTACTGTTGTGTAAGAGTTGGTCATTATATTTATGAACACATGATAATTTACCCTCCTCCCCCTCCCACCTGCCTGATTCCTCATGAATGTTACTTCCGTATATGGGTGTGCACTGTCTAGAGAATGGGCATGCTTGTAGCTGTGACTGTTGGGGCAAAGGCAATTTATGTAACCAAAGGGTTTGTACCCCCATAATATTCTGAAATTAAAAAGAACACATCATGATTAACTACATGCACCAAAGACATGGACGTTTTAAAATCAAGTATTAATATTTGAGTCAAATTATGATGCTTATATCTCATTTCCTATTTTTGTTCTAGTACATTTTAAACACATGGGTTATTTTTTAATTTGGTATAGGGTAATACAAGTTGCCGCTAATCACTTCTAGTTTCAAAACTACTTTAACTTTTTTCATCTATGAGACCAGTTTGTCAAATTTTAAAAAGGGAACACAAGCATTTGGAGAGTTTTTTAGACTTTACAGGAGATTAATGTGGTTTCCTTCATTTGCTTCCACACATTCCTCCTAAGATTATTCCTAAATGTTTTGTACTTTTCCTGGGTGTGTTTTGCCTATTCTGAATAAATCTTTTAAAAAACCATTATATTTTCTATGTAATCATTATTGTTGGTATACAGTAAAGTTTATATTAGCTTTTCAGTTGACTTGTTTGGGTTTTCATTATACATAATCATGTTATCCTCAAACAACGCTAAGTTTTATCTCCTTTCCGATCATTGTGATTTTTATTCACATCCCTTACCATACTTCATTAGTCAGCATTTCTAGAGCAATATTGATAATGGTGATGAGTCATCCTTGTCTTATATTTATTTTAAATTACTATTCAGATTTTAATATTGATTCCACATTTTTCTGGGGACAGGTTCTTGACTCAAATAATTCTATATTTTTCACTCAATACTAAAGCCCTTATAGCCTATGTTTCTTTGTAGGCTCTGTTTTTAATACTCGTAAGAAGAAATAACCAACCCTGTCAGCAAAGCAGGAAGGAAGGCCTGCTTTGTCTTTCCATATTCCCAGCTTTACTGCAGCTTCCATTTCCTCACGCAGAAGGTATTTTTCTCTTTCAGTTATCCAAAGACCATTTCCCAACTGGGATCCAACTAGTTTTTGAGAATTTTCCTATCCCAACTAGTTTATCGTCTGTTGGAATTGCAATGAAGAAATTGGCCCCCTGCCTCTTCCTTTAACTAAATAGGTGAGTAGATAATCCAAGCTAAAATTTTCAGAAGGTCTTTCTCCAGGACTCGAATTTCTAGCAAAGGGATAAAACAGCGATCTTTAACAGAAAACAATGAAAACATGGAGGTGTCTATTTCATCCAAGTAATAAGATCATGGCCAGCCTGCGCTTGGTATTGTCAGAGTTCTTGCTTCCTAGACTCCAAAGCTTCCAACCTGTCTGTCCGCTTCCGAACTGAGTTATCCAGCCTGCCATGGATTCCATGAGTCCCAGATAGCCTTCCGACAAATTCTCTTTGAGAATAGCTTTTGATTGCTTCCACGGAAAGGACCTTAACTTGATATACAAGATTACGGTAAATACCAAAAAACCAATTTCAACACTACCCTCCTTCCCCAAACCAAGACAACTTCCAATCGAAATAGTCTCATTTTCCATTCTCCTCTTGGAGGAATAGTCACATAAATTTCCATTCAGAACCAGATAAAAAAGGTGTTAGCAAGGAGGTTTGTTGAAACTGATTTGTTAATGATAATGAATAATGTCATCTTAAGAGATCAGTGAACTGGAAGTTCCATTCTGATTTTACACTTGGTGCTTGAAGTCAATAATCCAATGTTTGGAGAGTTATAAATATTTGCCAGAAAAGTAGGTCAAACCAGCTGAACTCTAATCCATTATAGATTCTGTTGAGCCACAGTTTCCATTTCGTTGTACATTGTAAATGGGAGTGTGAACATTAAAGGTGTAAAGATACATGAAGAATGATAAACGTTTTTAAATTTAGCAAATGATAAAGTACATAGACAAAATGATTGCTTAGTAGTTGGGATATGCGCTCCATAATCTAGATGATGTAGGAATCAGATTACAGTTTTCTTTTTTCCCATCTTTTGCATTTTTAAAAGCTAAGGTGCATATTCATTTTCCAAAGTGTTTCAGCATAACTCATTGAGTGTGCATGGCCAGCTGTAAAAAAACATTGAAAGAAAGTAAATTTGTCTTTGACAGGTACTCACCCTCTTTTCCACATCCTTCCTCTTCCTAAAGCCCCTTCCCCAAGCTTCTAGGCTCTCAGTGAATTTAAGCTGCTCTGACATTTCAACTGGTCATTCCATTGAGGCTGGTTCTATTGTCAGTCACGTCAGCCTCAGCTTTTCAGTTGTTTCTGTCTTTGGTTTTCCCAGTGGAAAGACATCATTGACTCACACACATTAAAAAGTTCTCAGCATATTTGTAAATTAAAGTGATGCAGGAGTTTAGAAGTTAAGCTGCTGAAAATGATTTATCAATGGCAGGCATTCCTCCTCACACGTGTACAAGTCAGACAAGCAAAAACTGAAATGCTAAACTCTGAAATTTATTTATTGGTCAATGTGTTCACAATGCAATATGGTAAAGTAGTGTTTCTCAATCTCAGCTGCTCCTGGGGAGATTTTAAGGAATGTGGATCCTTGGGCCCTATGTCAAGAAGATGATCCAGGGTAAGGAGGGCAAGCCTGGGAGCCAGATGCCATGGGCTTACATTCTGGCTCCAGTATCTATCAGCTAGCATTTGGACAAAGTTACCTAAAAATTCCCAGTTTACTCACTTATGAAATGAGGGCAATAATATTACCTACCTCAATAGATTATTGATTATTAGATGAGAGATATTGCCTAGCATGGGCCTTGCACATAAAAACATGCAGTGAACATGTTATTAGTATTATTCCCTGTCATTTTATTGAAATGTGCCATGGTGGTGCTCACTCAGTGTATGCTGAGGTACTGCACACAGAGAAGTTGACACATGCAGACATCACATACCAGTTTTTTAAAAAAGGCTAGTGCATAATTACAGAATCCTCTTTCCTAAACAAATTTTATGATTACAATTATGCAAAAGGATAGCAGAAGGTTTATTCCAAGTTCTACAAAGAAAGAAGTAATCTGGTGACACATTTGTGCATTGTTAGTGATGTATCAGTTATTTGAGAAACTGGGGATTTTAATTTTAGAAATATTTGTAAAAAACATATATTTATATAAAATAACATAAATACTTATATTTATTATTATGCAGTGCATAATAGATAAATCTATGAATTGTAAAATTATAAACATAATTTATATATGGATATCTATCTGCAAAACATTGATCTATTACGTACCTATGTAATAAAGTTGCATGAAAACTTTGTGTAATGTCTGAAAAACACTAGTGTAGAGCAAAGTCTGAAATACTCTGGCAGAGGACAATCTCAGGCTTTGGAATCAGACCAGCCCAGGTTCAAATCCCAGCTGCCTTTGTAGTGCCTTCCTTTCCCTCCTGTGTGCCTTTGCTCCAGCAGTCTCCTACGCCTGAAATGCCTTCCTCCCTGCAACTCCTTCAGTGCAAATGGCTGGACAGAAACTCAGCTTAAAAGACTCATCTTGAGGATCACCTTTCCAGGAAGCATCTATAATCCCCTCAGGTCAGCTAGGTGTCTTTCTCCAAACTCCCCAAATATTTGATACCCTTTCTTGTCCATGCACTTACTAATTATGTTGCAATGTCCTCTGCCCTCACTGGACTGTGAATTGCACAAGTTAGTGTATTATTCATCTTCGTACTCCAGTGCTTAACACCACGCCTGCACAGAGAAGTCACTCGATGCATGTTTTTTTTAAGCAGATACATAAATAAGAGATAAAAAGATGTCCAAAGGGTTACAGGCAATAAAAGTTAGAGATAGGATTTGAGCCCAAGTCTGTCAAGAGGCTACAAACTCTACCCTCTTTCCTATCTCAAGAAGTGGGTCCAACTATGGGTAAACTATGGGGATTCACAGTTTTATCCCCAGCCACATTTAAGCAGATGTGCCCAGATGGATTTAATTTTGGCAATAAACATGTATTCTTTATTAATAGAAAATGGTTTTAAAAGCTGCTATTAAAACATATATTCTGAAACTAGGCTAGACTTGGCTTATGGTCTTCCACTGAGGCCTTCCACCTAGGCCTATGTTTGATGCTTTAACTGCATCAGAATTATTTGGGATGGTGGGACCGAGACTCAGAAATCTGCAATTTCAACTACTGACTGGGGTTCTTTGGAATGAATACATTTCTTCTAAGAATGATTGATTTAGACCTTTAAGAAAAAGGAATTCTAAATTTTTCAGTATATACAGTAGGGGAAATATTTAAGGGAATTATGAATACTACACCATATTTAAAACTGAGCTCAGAAGCCCTATGCGCTCCAGTGGGCAGGCCTCATTCATGGCCAGCCCCTACCATGGAGCCTGGTACAGGGTAGCTGCTACATGAACATTTGTTCAAGGAAAGGAGAGGGAAAGATATACTGATTGGAATGCAACAGTTTTAAACCAGCAAGGGAAAATATTATTTCTAAGGTTATTTCTTGAAATTTAGGTATTTTAATAATATTTTCTCAAACTAATGGTACCTTGGCAGTCTAACTCAGAGATTCCCAAATCCTCGCGGTCTGAGGATTAGTGTTGGCTGCCACAAACTTTTTACAGGTTATTGTAAAATGAGAAAATAAAAACAACATGGTCAGTTTTTCATCTTGGAAAACTTACTCAATTCAGTAGACTGTTTTTGTCTAAGATTATGTCCTTGCTAAACTTCCAGGATTAAGATGTTCTTTTCTTTTATGAAAATGTAGTAATAATAGACAGAAGGTTTTTAAAATGACCTTATTTAACAAAACTGTTTGCCCCTCTAATTTTAAAAAATGCTTATTTATAAAATCCCATAATTCACTATTTCAGCCTATTAGTAACC